GCAGAGGTGGTGGGTGGGAGGGAGGGAGGGAGGGAGGAGGGGGGGGGGGGGGGGCATAGTGTCTCCGGTGTGGTGTGGCCGGTGTGGTGGGCCCGGAATGTGTGTGTGTGTGTGTGTGTGTGTGCGTACCCGGAGGTGCTGCAGGAGCAGGTCGGTGTTCACGTCGCCGCCAGGGCCCGAGAAGAGCTCGTCGGCGGACATGGCCGGGCGGCGGGGGGCAGGGACGACGGTGCACATGCGAACAGCGGTGTCTTCGGGAATGTCATACCGGTCGACAATGGCTGCAAGCTTTGGTGAGGCAGAGCGGGACCGCGAGGTGCTCCGCTCGCGGCTGCGACGTGAGCTCGCTCCAGCAGACGACATTGGTTTGACGGGAGGAGTGTCACTGGCGGAGGCAGCAGAACCATTAATGCCAATGAGAGTTTTTCGATTAATGGCCAGGCCCCGGAGCCAGCACCATGGCTACGCCACGACCATCCATCGTATGTAAAGCTGGCTGCTCTCGCCACACCATGGCCAAGAACAAACTGGTCTTGGCTTGCATCGCTGGCTATCCGTGCCTGGGTGGTCCGATCCTGCACATGGGGGGGAGAGGAAATGGGAAGGAGGGGAGGGAGGAGGGGAGGCATAGCTCGATTACTGTGGTCTGCCTAGCAGACAGCTCGCGAACCGGCATGAGAAGTATGCTCTGCACTCAAAGATAGGTGCGAGTCGGTGTATCTAGGTCATCGCTGACTGAGGAGACGGCGCAGCACACGTTGCGAGCGACAACAAGAGTATGGGTGGAAGAGAAGCTAGACATCGGCCATGGCATCGTTTAAATGGTCAGCCGGGCAGGAGCCAGGTCAGTCTGTCCGCGGGACTTCGCAAGAAGGGGGCGCATGACACGACGACGACGACGACGACGCACGACCACTCTGCCCAACACCACTCCACCCTGCCACCCATACACATACGCACACACAAGGGGACATTGCCTCGGCCATGTTTGCTCGACTCAAGTCGCTGCTCACGTCGAGGATGCGCGGGCGGCCGCGGAGCCGGGGTGTGCCGGTCTCTGTCTCGGGCGCTGTGACGGAAATGCCCAACGCACTGACGACGGCGACGGTGTGCGCTACGCCCGGCGCACCGCTGGTGGTGGTAACACCTGCTCTGCCGCACTACATCCTCGCTGTCGACGCGCACGGCTCGTTGCTCTGCTGGTGCGCGGCGACAGGCGCTCTGCTCGCGACCGCCAGTCACGCCCATGGCCACGGCGAGCTGCCGACCTCGCTCGCCTTTGTCCCGCACGCCAAGGCCGTCTCGGGTGACGCGTGTGGCGTGATTAAGGTCTGGACGCTGCCGTCGCTGATGTGTCTCCGCTCCATCGACGCCCACATGGGCCCGCTTTCGCTCGTGGCCGCGCCCGGGCCGGCAGCCGAGCCGGTCCGCCTTGTCTCAGCCGCCGCAGGCGACGCCTCGCTCTACGCCTGGCTCGTCGGCGTCGAGCGCGCAGAGCTCATCCGCAGGCCGGACGCTGCTGCCATCACCGCGCACGTCTTTCTCCCGGACAGCGACATCCTCGTCTTTGCCACCGAGCTCCCGGGCCTCACGCTTGTCCATCTCCGCGAGCTCCGGCTCGAGACACTCGGCTCGGGCGCGTCGGCAGCGGCGGCGGTCGATGCCCTTGTTGTTGTCTCACCGGACCACCTTGTCTCGGTGGATGTCTTTGGCAAGATTGTACTCTGGTCCGCGCCCAAGATGGAGCCACTCGGCTCGGTCCCGCTCCCGGTCGACGCCTTTGGCAAGGCGCTGGCGGCCGTGGCGTCGTCGTCGGCACCGCTGCGGCTAGTCTCGCCTGTGGCGCTCGACGCCCGCACTGCGGCGCCTCTCCTTGTCGCCGGCCTCGGCGCGGGCTTTGTCATTGCCGACGCCGCGTCGGGCCTGTTTGTCGTCTCGGTCCCGGCCGCTCACGCCGCGCCGGTCACGGCCGTGCTCCCACTGGAGAACGGGGCGCGTGTTCTGACCGGTGCTGTCGACGGCTCGCTCAAGGTCTGGGGCGATGCTCGCAGCGCCGAGTCGCCTCGCGCGCCGTACGGCTTTGACTTTGCCGACGCGGCGGCACCCAACAAGGCCGAGCCCATTGTCCTCGGCGAGCTGCACATCTTTGGCTCCGCCGTTGCCTCACTCCACGCCCTCGGGCCGACCGCGCTCATCGCCGTCTCTGCCGATGGTGAGCTCGTCATACTCCGCTACGCTGCGGATGAACTCCGTGCCCTCACGGTTGCCGCCTCGCTCGACATGTACCTCGCCTCGCTAGGCCTCGAGCTGAGTCCCGACGCGACTGCTGCCAGCCTCGCCACTCCGCCCCGCGGCTGCACAGGTGCCGTCGCGCCCGCTGGTGCCGGTGGAGGTGTCAATGATGATACCAACGACGTCCCAGACGACGAAGCCGATGAGTACGGCTCGACGCTCTCGCGCCACTCATCGGCGCTCTTCTACGAGTGCAACACGTTTGAGGGCACGTCGCCGCCGGGCGTCGTCGACAATCCCGAGCAGTTCTACACGCCCGCTGCCGGGCCGGGCAGCTCGCTCCAGGCTCGCCCTGGCCCCAGCCTTGGCTTTAGCCCGAGTTCCAGCCCCAGCCCCAACCCCAGCACCTCGACCGCGCTCTCGCCAGGCTCGTCAGGCGAGTGGTCGGCCACTGTCCGCGGCGGCCCGCTCCCACTCAACCTCGACACCTCTGTCAGCTCGATCACAGCCACGCCGCCGGCCACTCCGGTGGCTTTGCCTGCCGACGACCGCGCCAGCCCCGTGCCTGTTGCGCCGACTCTGGGAATGGGCCTCTTTGATGAGGCCTCGGCCAGAGCCGGGCAGAGCAGCGAGGGGGAGGAGAGGAAGAGGCCGAGGCCGAGGCCGTTCAAGACGTCGCGTAAAAGGATATGGGCTCGTCTGTTGGCAGTGTTACCTGGATCTTTCTGGCTCAAGCGTCGGCGGCGCAGTTCGAGTGCCCCCGAAAGTACGGCGGGCAGACGGTGGTGGTGGCCTCGGCAGCGCTGTCGATGACGTCGACGATCGACTGCGGGAGCGGGCCGTCGCGGAGCGAGGCGGCATTGACCTCAATGTGCTTGGCGCACGAGCCGCCGAGGATTAGGCCGTCGTCGGGGGTGAGCTTGGAGTGGAATGCGAGGTAGCGGATGACAGCGGCGTACGGCGAGATCGGCTCGCCGTCGAGGGCGGCCAGGGCGGCCTTGAGCGCCTCGAGCGCCGAAAACATGGTGTCGTTAAAGAACCGCTGGCGGTAGGCGCGGCCCCAGAGGGTGTCCTTGTTGAAGCGGCCGTCGGTCGGATCGGAGTCCTTGGTGTGCTTGCCGGTGAGGAGGCCGCCGGCGGTGATGTTGTACGCGTAAAACCGCATGCCACAGGCGCGGATAGCCGGAAGGAGCTCGGCCTCGACCCCGCGGGTAAACGCGTTGTACATGCCCTGGTACACGGTCGGCTTGACGTAGCCGGCAGCCTCGCAGAGGCCCACGATGCGGACCACCTCCCAGGCAGCATAGTTGGAGAGGCCAAACTCGGAGAAGACACCAGCCTTGTGCAGCTTGTCCATGGCCTGCAGCGTCTCCTCGATCGGGGTCGTCTGGTCCGGCGCGTGCAGATACAGGATGTCTACCGCCGGCATGCCGAGGGCGGCGAGCGAGGCGCTTGCCTGGGCCTCGACCTGATCGGCAGCAAGGCCGCCGCGCGGGGCAAAGGTCTCGTAGTTGGTGTACCACGGGTTGACCTTGGTCGCCACCTTGAGCCCCGGATGGCTGGCCACAATCGGCGCAAGCACCTCGTGCGTCTTGCCCATGTTGTACATGATGGCGGTGTCGACCTCGGTTCCGCCGGCCTCCGCAAACGCCGCTACCATGCTTGCTGACTCGTCCTGGTCAGCCTGTCCGCCCATGGCCATGGTTCCGAGCACAAGCCGAGGGCAAAGCGCATGCGGTGTCGTCGACATGATTGGTGCAAGTAAGGAGTGCGTGAGTGGAGTCTGTCGTAGGGAAGGTTGCTGGTGCGCGACCTCGCGAGGCGGTGAAACATGGCGTGTGACTCGGGCGAACGCAGAAATAGTGTGGCAGAGCTGCTGCAGGTGTTTGTGTCGAATGTCGGGATGCAAAGGTGGCTGGGAGTGGGTACTTGGTGGGTAGATGGAAGGTGATGGTGTTGTGTGCAGAGTGTGCGGAGTGTGGCGCATCTTGATGGTGTGTGCGAGCGATTGATCAAGAGTGTGGATGTGTGATGCTGGAAAAGAACTGTGGCGGGAAGACGGGGCAAACGATGGAGATACATTCAGCCAGGCAATGATGCACTAGTTTAGGCAAGGGGTATGGAAGTGAACACTTGTATTTGAGGGACGTGTGTGGCGCAAGAAAGCCATCAATGGGGGTAGATGGCGGGCGAGGGTGTTGGGCGGATGATCAACTTGAAACGCGGAGCGGACGGGAGGAGGCGCTGAACGCCCCCCCCCCCTGACCTGCTCACGCGATGTCTGGCGCCAGTAATTCCTGCAGTGCCTTCGAGACATCGTCAAAGCGCATGCGAGCGGCCCAGAACATGGTGTTGGGAGCCATGTGCGACGCAAACGAGAGCATAGCGTCGCGGACATCGGCGGCAGAGGGCTGCATCAGACGAGCGAGCGCATCAAAGAGCTCGACTACGTTGTCAGTGTGGCCGAGGACAGCAAACAAGTGACGGACAATAAGAAAGAGGTCTGGTTCGACGGTGTCAGCAAGGAGCGCAGCTGCAACATGCCGCGGGAGGCATGTCGGCGCCAGTCGCGGCTGGGCAACAGCGGCCAGCAGCGCACGATACGGGCCGTCGGAAAACGCGGCAAAGCGGACCGCAGCGGGTGTGATGGCAAACGAGTCATCGCGGAGAAGAGCGGCGACGACTGATGCTGAGTCGTTGCGGGCTGCGGTCTTCAAAAGATCGTCAGAGGCACAGAGGGCGTACTTGGCGAGAAGAAGATCAACGACAGCAGAGTGGTTGGCACGCACAGCTTCTTTGAGGCAGTACTGCGAGGGACGAAACTTGAGCTCGGTAATGAGCTCGTCGGCGAGCACAGCCTGTCCGCCGCGGATGGCTGCGTAGATGATGTTGGACGTTGGCGCCACGCCCTCGGACATGATCCATCGAAAGACGTCAACGTTGCCGGCGCGCGCGGCGGTCGACGCAGCACGGCAGGTCAGTTCGAGGTACGGGTGTGCGGCGAGGAAGGCCTGGACGTGGGCTAGCGGAGCAAAGCTGCTCACGGCTACCAAGTCCGCGTTAGTTGGCGAGTACATGGCGTGCTGCGCGAGGGCGAGGATGGTGGCGGCGGCGTCAGAATCGTCGACAACGCTGCAGGCGCGGAGCGCAGTCACCACCACATCAACCGTTCCGGGTACCATGAGGGCAGCATGGGATTTTGGATGCGCAAGAACATACCGCGCAGCCGCCACTCGCCCTGCCCGCAGCAGCGCGGTCCAGCCCGCCACGTCGACGTCGACTCCGGGGTTGTTCACCAGCACATCGACGAGCTCGTCGCCGACTTCGCGGTCTCCTCGCGTCTGCACATACCGCAGCAACTCGGCATCAGCCACTCGCCCATGATCGAGGAGCATAACTGTGGCTTCGACGTCGCCTTTGCGAACAGCCATCCGCGTCGCAGCGCGCAGCATCTTTGCCGGCAGGCCCGGCTCGGCGGCGAGCAGGTCGGCGATGAGGCGGTATCGGAGCTCATCATCAGCTTCGTCGTCGACGATGTTCTTTGGCCAAGAGCTAGATGCATCGCGGGAGGAGAGAGTCCCCCACAGTGTTGCCACCCGCTCGTCGCGAGTCACGGCCCGCTCCGACGATTGGACCCGGACCTGCCAGCGGACCGTGGCGTCGATGTCAAATCTGTGCTCGTGCAGCGCGCGGCGAGCCGATCGCCACCAGCTCCGCTCACCGCATGCATGTAGGCCAAGTCTTGCCCGCCACCGCGATCTGCTGTAGCCATCGCCCGCCAGAGCTGCGTTCATGGCCGAGCAGGTCATGGCCAACGCGCCAATGTCGCGCACGTCGAGCACGTTCGAGCCAAAGGCGATGGCGTGGACGAGCTCTACCGGTAACGAGTCTAGCGTCAGTCGGGGCGCCATGGTTGATGGCGAGAGTGTATAGCGTGTGTGCGTGTGCGAGAGAGTGGCGTGTGTGGGGGGTGGGTGCGCCTGGCTTCCGTTGCGTAACCGGGGTGACCTAGGGCGGGGGACAGCGGCAGCAATGGCAGAACACCCAGCTCTCGAGGCTGCAGCGCAAGACATACTAGCCATGGCAACAGGTGGTAGTGCTGGTGGCGGTGGCTCGGGCGGGGGACGTGGTGCGCAGAAGCGAAAGGGAAAGCGGCATGCGGCCGGTGGCTTGTCGTCGTCGTCGTCGTCGTCTGCGTCTGCGTCTGCGTCTGCGTCGGTTTCTGTGTCGTCGTCGAGCACACATGTGGAGGTCCGGGCGGGGACGCTGAAGCATGACGACGCAAAGAGGGTGCCGGGCAAGGTCAATCCGTTTCTTTACACTGGAAAGAGCTCTGTGTACGAGAAGATCAAGCTGACGTTCATGACGGTGACGTTCTTCCCTGTCCGGCTCATTCTCATTCTGCTCTCACTCGTCTTTATCTCGATGTTCTGCTGGCTGGCGACGGTGGGACTCTCGCGCGATCGGCTGGCGTCGCAGCCGATTGCTGGTTGTCGGCGAGTCTTCCTCGTCATTGCGCAATACATTCTCCGCTTTGCCATCTTTGTGGCCGGCTTTTACTGGATCTCGACGTCAGGCAAGCGGTCGAAGAAGGTCGGGCTTGTGGCGTGCGGGCCGCACACCAACTTTCTGGATCCTGCCTTTATGTATTGGCTCTACTGGCCTTCGGGCGTGTCTGCTGCGGAGAATGCGCGAGTCTGCTTTGTGGGCGCCATTATCCGGGCGTCGCAGGCTATTCTCGTCGACCGCGGCGACCCCGAGTCGCGGCGCGCCGTGATGGACCAGATCCGGATGCGGGCCGAGTCGGACGAGCCGTGGCCGGCGACGCTGCTCTTCCCAGAGGGCACGTGTACGACCGGCAACGCGCTCATCACGTTCAAGGCCGGAGCGTTTGTGCCGGGCGTGCCTGTCCAGCCTGTGGCGCTCAAGTACCAGTTCTCGCACTTTGATCCGTCATGGGTCCCGACTGGGCCCGGCAAGGCGTACCTGTTTTGGCGCATTCTCTGCCAGTTTGTCAACCGGGTTCACATCACGTACCTGCCTGTGTACAGCCCCAGCCGCGAGGAGAAGAGCAATGCCAAGCTGTTTGGAGCCAACGTGCGGGCGGTCATTGCCAACGAGCTCGGCGTGCCGGTGACGGAGCACACGTACGCCGACAACGTGCTGGCGAATGCGGCGATCCGGCGTAAGTTCCCGCCCGAGGCGGCGGTCGTCGAGTTTGGCGCGCTGCACCAGGTCTACAACTACTCGCTCGACGACGTCAAGCTACTGCTGGACCGGTTTGCAGCGGCCGACACGGACGGCGATGGGCTTGTCTCGGAGGTGGAGTTCGCGGAGCTTCTCGGCCTCGAGCTCTCGGAGCCGGTCTCGCTCGCATTCCAGATGTTCGACACCGACTCGTCGGGGCTGATCGACTTTCGAGAGTGGCTCATCGGCATTGCGCTCGCCAATAACCAGTCTGACCGCGAGGAGGTCCTCAGCTTTGCCTTTCAGCTATTTGACCCGCACGGTAAGGGCCGTATCTCGCGTGAGCGGTTTGTCTCGTTCATCGGCAGCGTGTTTCCGGCCATGACGGGCGAGTCTGCGGCGGCGCTCTTTGACCGGGTCGACGCGCGGCAGCGCGGCTACCTCTCGTTCAAGGACTTCAAGGCCTTTGCGGGCGCCCATCCCGAGTACTACCACGTCTTTCTCCAGTGGAACGCCGGCCACGAGGTCGACATCGACGAGTGGCGGACGCGGGCGTCTGTCGAGTACGGCTTTAACTCGGATGAGGTCTCGACGTACTCGCCGTCGTACGAGTACGAAGGAGATGAATCATAAAGCTGACGGCTGGCTGGCGGCGGGTTGGCGAACAGCGGAGGCGAAAACGGCGGGGAGGCGGGGAGTGGGAGGAGGGAGCTACACCCAACTTGCGGCCACAGGCATGTCGTTTTTGGGCGAGAGCGGAGCAGGAGCCACAGAGCAACTGGAGGTGTTTCTGAAGAATGGTGAGAGTGTGGTTGTGGAGGTGCCGCCGTTGGCGACTGCCGGGCAGGTGCTGGCGACGGTGGCGTCGCGGCTCGGGCTCTCGGCCGACTACCTCAGCCTGTGGGCCATTTCCGGAGTGCGGAGCCTGCTCACACTCGAGCTGGAGGACGACTTTGTGGTGGGCGACCTGGAGCCCGAGTGGACTCGGCTGCTCAAGTACATGTGCGAGAAGAAGAAGCGGCGGAAGACTGCGGACTGGTACGAGGTCAAGGTGACGGTCGGGCTCGCGTCACTGGTGCCTGACGCGGTGCTTCGGACATGGGAGGAGGATCCGCGGCTGGTGCGGGTGCTGTACAACGAGGCCGTGTACTCGATCCTCCATTCCAAGTACTTTCCGCTCACCATGGACGACGCCACCGAGGTTGCGGCGCACATGGTTCAGGTCAGCGAGGGCGAGTGGAACAAGAAGAGCCACAAGAAGGACATGCTTGCCGAGCGCATCCGACCGTACTTTAACCGGTCGTTCATGAAGGTGGCGAGCCGGCTTGAGCTCGCCGAGGCTGTCTCTGCCCGGCACAAGAAGCTTAAGAGCCTCTCGACGCTCGAGGCGCAGATGGCGGTGGTGCAGAAAATGATGGCGAGCCAGGCCAACTTTGGCGCCGTCTTTATCGAGGCGCTTGTGAAGCAGTCGGATCCCGGCGCGGCGTTTGCAGTCGACGCGTACATGGTGCTTGCGTTCAAGCCCGATGCGGTGCGGTTGTGCCGGATGCGCACCATGGAGGTTGTCCACGTCGTTCCCTACCACGAGCTCATCACGCACGCATACATCGAGACGACGTTCACATTTTCGTTCATGACGCCGCACGGCGAGGCCACATTCGTGCTCTACACCAAGAAGGGCACCATCATCAATGATCTCATCGACCGCGCCGAGGCGCTGCTGTTTGCTGGCGCCACCCCGGCACAGAATCGGCCGCGTCCGGCGTTTGCGAGCGGCTCGCTCATGCTGTAGGCGTGTGTGAGTCTGTGCTTGAGCTCGGCCCCGCGCCCGCGCCTGCGCGTGGCCCGGCTGTCGCGTCTGCTGCGGCTGTAGCCGAGGCGTGCCACGCGTCGAGAACGGCGACAATGTCGACAAAGGGCGGGCGGAGTGACGGCGAGTCTTCCCAGCACGTGCGCATGAGGTCGATGGCTGGCTGCGGCGCGCGGCCGGGGTCGATGGGCGGACGGCGGCGCTGGTCGACAATCTGGGCGACAAGCGCCATGATGTTCTCGCCTACGTACGGATGTGCAACGTGGGTGACTTCCCAAATAAGAATAGCAAACGAAAAGACGTCAGCCTTTTCCGAGTACGGCTCGCCGCAGATGACTTCTGGCGACATCCACTGCGGCGTGCCGGTGGTGGTCATGTGCTGGGTGGCGACTTTGACGCGCGAGACGCCAAAGTCGGCGACCTTGGCTCGGAAACCCGCCGAGAGGAGTACGTTCTGGCTCTTGAGATCACGGTGGATGATAGGCGGGTCCGAGGTGTGGAGAAAGAGCATGCCACGCGCGACGTCGGCAAGAATGCCGGCAGTGCGGGGCTCGCCAAACGAGAACTCGTCGCGGCGGCGCATGCGGGTGATAACGTCAAAGAGCGAGCCGAGCTCGAGGAACTCGGTGACCATGCCAAGCGAGCCAGGCGTGACGACGATGCCCAAGAGCTGAACGACGTTGGGGTGGACGAGCTGGTCGAGGAGAATGGCTTCTTGGAGAAGGGCCTCGACCTGCTCGCGCTGTTGGGCGGCGTTGACATCGTTGAGCCGCTTAAAGGCCACGCTCACGCCACGCCACACGGCGCGGTAGACTTGCGCATACTGACCCCGACCGAGAAGCTCAGCGAGTTGCAGCGCGGACGCGTCGATGCGGCGGAGGCCGGCGGCGAGCGAGACGAGGGCCTGAGCGCGGAGATCGGCCTCGGACTCGCGTGGATCCTCGGGCGAGGCAGAGGCTTGCGACGGGAGCGGAGCGAGCAACAGTGCATCGCGAAGCGCAGTCGAGTCGACAACCATGGTCCGGAAGAGGAGCGGGGCAAAGAGCAGGTAGTAGTAGAGAAGCGAGATGATGTTGAGGCAGTAGCCGGACTCGAGGGCAACGCCGCCCGAGGCCGACTGCAGGGCGTATGTGACGCCAAAGAACAGATGAGATATGGCAAGAAATAGCGCCCACGGATACGCTGGCTTGCGTAGAGGAAGGTGGCGGGCGAGGAAGGAGCCAGGTGCGGCAAACTGCGAGACCCAGGCGGTAAAGGCGCCCAACGTGAGCGCTGCTTCGGTGGGGACCGTGCCGGCATGCGGATGGTCTACAGCAAGAGCGACAATGGCAATGGCCGCTAGGATGGCCGAAACAATGGTGGCGCGGGTCTTGGCCTTGGTAGCCGCAGCGTCGAGGATGCAGCCCCCGGTTGCGGCGCCGGACGTGGTCGCTGGCGGCGACGCGACAAGATCGTTAAGCGACTTGGGCGAAGCCGACTGCAACAACGCGGTGGCCTCATTTGCGTGGGCAGAGCCCGGTGCAGCATCAGATGAAGCGGCGATGAAGAACAGAACGACGGTCTGGATCCACCACTGCAGCGCTAGCGCGGCAATGTTGAGCAGGCCATAGACGAGGGCACCGGTGCCGTGATCGGAGAAGGGCAAGAGCCGGAGGACAAGGAGCGAAAAGAAATCCAATAGAGCGGCAAGGAGGACCGAGTAGTACAGATCAAGAGTGGTGTTGCGGGCACGCGAGAGGACTCGCAGCCAGAAGACAGCCGAGACAAAGGTGAGGAGCCTGATGATGACGTCAAAGAGAGGCAGGCTGAAGTCGGTGCCGAGCGAAAGCCGGTATGACGAGAGGGTGCAGCATGTCTCGCATTGCCTCGGCATGGCCAACGGAGGCGGTGAGGTATGTGTGTGTGTGTGGAGAGAGAGAGAAAGAAAGAAAGAGAGAGAGAGAGGTTGTGGTAGTTGTGGTGGCGTAGCGGTGTGGGTGTAGGTCGCGTGACGCCGACAGGCCCAACACAGTTGTGTGAGCCCGATTTGCGTTGCTGCGACAGCCTGCGAGACGCTAGCACTCGCGGTCGGGTGAGAACATCTTTGTTTGCAAAGAGCTTCGATGAGATCGACATAGTCAGCTCAGAGGAGCGGGGAGCCACCCACCCGCTCCTTTTGATGATGATGCGCGACGACAGGAGCGGCAGGGGCGGGTGGGTGGTCCTCTTCGACTACGTGCTGAGCAACGGATTCGTTTGAGATGGACGTTGATGGAGACGATAGCTTGGGATTGGAGGAGGAGGCAGACCACTGCACTCTAGCCCGCCACTGCAGTGCATATTGCTTGCCCTTGTCCTCTCTTGTTCTTCCTTGTCTTGGCCAGCCCGGTGGCCTCGTCGTCTGGCTCGGTGGTCGGCGACAGGGGCGGCTGGCAATGAGCAGGCCGGCGGGGGGCTGTGATGGGCAAGGCCGGGGGAGGGAGGGGAGCAGTGGGTTGAAAAGCAAACTGGTAGTCATTGCCAATGATTAGGCCATCCGTATGTATCGTCTCCAATGCCCTGTCGATGGCTAACTTGCTCTCGGTGGTGCCGGAGGTGTTCGGTCGGCGGCGGGCGGCGGTCGGCGGCGAGCAGCCGGCGGTCGGCAGCGATGCTGTTGACGGGATGGCGTCGGCTGATGTGCGTATCGGCGAGCAGGGAGTGGGTGGCTATGTTTGCAGGGGTAGTGAGTGTGTGTGGTGTATGTGTGGTGGTCGTGGGTGGGGATGGTGGGGAGTGGGCGTGGGAGATGGGCCCGAGGAGGGGGTGAGCAGCATCGAAACGACACCAGGACAACAAGCTGGGCCTGAGCCGGCAGAACTCGGATTCCGGAATACAGCAGCTATGGATTGGAAACTGCGCATGAACGTAGTGTGTGTATGTAGTAGAGTAGTAGTGAAATCAGATTGGCCATATCTTGCAATGAGGTTGGTGGGGGGCATGTGCGGGGTCGGGCGGTCGAGGACGTGCTCAACCACCTAGGGCAAACAAGTCGACGGAAATGAGCCGAGGAAGATGGGTGTCAATGACAGCGATACTGATACTGGTGATAGTGTGGGACGAGTGATGACCTTGGGTGTGGTCGCGGGTTGTGTAGCTGGTAGTGGGTGGGAGCTAGGTGGTGGTGAAGGTGGGCTGATCGGGCGAGCGGGCGGCGGCTGGCGGCTGGTGGTCGGCAAGGCAGGAGCAGCAGAGGGGGGTGGGTCGGAACGGGGTAGCTTGAGATTGCTGTTGGTTAGAGATTGGGCAGTCTGGCATGTGATGGTTGAGGGGTATGGGTGTCGGGGTCCGGGTAGAGGATGAGGGTGAGTTGGAGCGGGGAGAGGACGAGGATGGGGAGAAAGAGGAGGCGGGGTGCGCGATGGGATGGTGGTGAGGATGGCCAAGGCAAGGTGGTGGTGGTTGTGGCTAGGATGATAGTGATGGTGGTGGGGTAGGGGTGGGGTGGTCGTTTGTCATGACGGGTGGTAATGAGTATGGTAGGGGGGGATGAGGGGGGTCGTGACGTGGGGTCGTGACGGGCGGAGGGGGAGGTGGGTATGGAGATTGGGGTGAAGGATTGATGTGGGCGAGTTGGATGAGGATGATGGCTGGGTGTGGAGTGTGGGCAATGAGGGTGGAGGGGCATGGGCGGCAGAGGAAGGCGGCGGACGTTAATTGAGTTGAACGTTCAATTAATTGAAGAAAAGCCGGAACAAGCATCAAACGAGGCAATGACGTCCACAACAACAACCAAAGATCATACATGGCTTGCACAGCACACGTATGAGTAAGCCAACAGGGACTGGACAAAGCTAGCAGGCAATGGGATGAACTCGGGTGACGTTCAGGTCGATGAGGCAGGGCGCGGTTGATCGATCAGATCTGCAGATCAACCATGACCACGACACATCAGGGTCAACACAAAATACATTGCATGCAAAACTACTGACCATGACAAACGACAACAAAGCTGAAAATCGATAGTGTAGTGAGCAAGGCCCGATGGTGAATGAGAAAGGCAAGGTCGAAGAAAACAGGAGAATCAAGAACAATTGAAGCAAGACGAATAATGATACAAAGCAACAACAAGAGCAAAGGCAATGATCAATGAGAATGCATGCCGATTACGGTCAAGCATCAAAGGCAAAAACAGCCAGAGCACAACATAAGGGCAGGCAAAAGCAACAACAAACCATGTGGAACCATGAACGGCAAACAACAAGGAACAGGGAAAACCAACAGGAGGAAAAGCAGAAACAATCGAACGATCAATTGACAATGATCAATAACAATCAATTGAATGTCAAACAATCAAACGAGTGACGAGTGGCGAATCATGAAAATGTTGAATGACATTCATGTCACCCACCAACCCGCACATGCCACTCGGCCGAACGAGTGACACCAGCCAGAGTCAATGGGAGGATGGGGATTGTGAATCAGCATCAAAAACTCAATTCACGCCCATGAACAGCCATGCGCATGGTGGGGTAAGGGATGAGTATGGAGAAGTGGGTGGGAATGTGGATGTGGGTCATGGATGGGAAGGGTAGGGGTGGCTAGCAGGCAGTGAGTGGCAAGTGGAGTGAGTGGTGGTCAGTGGGCAGAAATGGTGTGGGGCTAGGATTGATGAGGCATCAGCTAGGGTTGACGAGGCATCAGCTAGGGTTAGGGTTAGGGTTAGGGTTAGGGTTAGGGTTAGGGTTAGGGTTAGGGTTAGGGTTAGGGTTAGGGTTAGGGTTAGGGTTAGGGTTAGGGTTAGGTACGGTACGGTAGGTAGGTAGGTAGGTAGGTTAGG